CGAAAGAGGCCAGGGAATCGGATGGAGATTTATTTCGGCACGGGGAACGGCTGGAGCAGAATGGGATTTATAGGTCAATCGGCGAGCTCACACATAGAGAGCTATACTGGGCAAGACAAGCAGAAGTTAGTTAGAGATTCGAGAAATGCGGAAGAGTGCAGTGGTCTCTGCAGAGCGCGGAAGAACGTGGGCGGAGGGGTTTCATTTCCCCGATTGGCAGGGGAAAAGACAGCAATCTGACAGGTGAGACCTACCCCAATGAAGAGAGTTCTGGCAGTCGAGACAGGTTGCGGTGAGTTTGGAGGTGTGAGGGTGTGAGAAGATTAATGGATTGGGAAAGGGGGGGAAATCGGAAAAAAAAAATAATAAGAAGAAGAAAAATGAAAATAAAAAAGACAAGACACGACCCGGCAAGGACCACGAAGCGGAGGGTTATTCGGGGAAGACGAGGAGAAGGGGGGGAGGGGGGAGGGAAGGAGGAAAGGTGTATGTGGTTGAGAGAGGAACGGAGAGAGAAGAGCGGGAAGAAAAGTTACTGAGGAATTTCCGAGTCGGGTGTGTAAGGAGGAGAGGAACGGGGGGAAGAAAGCAAGCCCCTAAGATAGTGTAGTGTAATTGATAGAAGGGAAATGGGAAATGGGAAAAAGAAAGAGTAAGTGAGGGTAGGTACTAGGTATGGTTAAGGCAGAGAGAAGGAGTTTGTAGTTACTTGTAGTAACATGTAGTAACAACGTTAAGTGAGTGAGTGAGTGAGTGAGTGAGTAAGTGAGCTGAGGGAGGAGGAAGTCTCCAGCTTGGTCGGTCGGTCGGTTGATCGGTCGGACTATGGATGCTTGTAAGTGAAACTTAGTCTGAGAGAGAGAGGGAGAGGGAGAAAGATTGAGAGTGTGAGGGAGAGTGAGAGTGAGAGAGAGCATAGGCGGGCCCGGAGTAGTCGCCTCCTAAAGATCTCCTCCCGCCTTCAAGCAAGGTAATCGGTTGTCGATGAACTAACCTAATCAATGTGCATACAAAATTATACGGAAAGAGAGAAGGGGGGAAAAAATAATGAGAAGAAAAAAAAATAAAAAAATAAAAAGAAAAAACTCAACCAAATCCCAAAGTCAGCCTTAGAAGCTCATGAAGCCCCCAAATGGTGTTCAACTCAAATCCATGTCAATAATTCCTTAATTGCTGGGAATAACTACTCGGGTCAAGCTAACTTATGCTGTTCGTATTACTAGTCTACCTACCACTAAGATACTACCAACTAGACTAGTATCCCCCCGTCTTGGATCACTTCTTCGCCAGTAGCCTCTCGACGGTTGCTTTTTCCTGCTTCTAATTCGGCGTCGGCTTCTTTTCTTATTCTGTTTCTTGTTTCGGCTTGTCAAACCTGTCGCTTTGGATGTTTGTTTGTCTTTCTTCATCTTTAGCTTCGGGCCCCAAATCCTCTCGGATTTAAGCTCCGGAAGACATGATGCTCGACTACGGGGGAGCAAGGGTAAAACCAGGGCAAGACAGGATGAACTATGTCGTCGCCAACACGAGCTGACTGACCCATACGATTGGATCCAACGATCTGGGTCCTCGGGCTCGGACTATGCGATGGATGTAGATGTCAAGATCGTTTGCGGCTGAGCTGATCTGGTGGGAGAATGTGGTCATCGCCAATCCTGTCGAATTGTCCACGGTATCGGGGGTGAGTCCCCAGCCTAGAAGATAGCGTACTGAGTTTAATTATGCTGTAGGGCCAATTATAGTCGAGCGACTATAAGCGACGCTGACTGGTGTCGGCGCGGTGATGATGACAACCTAGTTTCCAAGAAGCTCAAAGGGTGGGCTAGAAGAAAAAGGGGCAAACGTTGAAGGAGGATTCCCGTTGAGAGGGCCCAAGCAAGCGAGGTATGAATCACTATTCGTTGGATAATACCAAGTAGCAACCAAAGGGTGGTAAATGTATCATGTGGTGGGGAGACATCGAGGCTGCTGGGGAAAAGCTAAAAGAAATGGTTGGATCCGGTGACATCGGAGAGGGTCCCCGGGCCAGGAAGGAACATACTGGATGGAGTCAGAGACAGACAGGCAGGCAGGCAGAGAGCCCCTTTCATGATAATTACAAGAATGAAGACATCCTTGTCAACCATCCTAGCAACCATCCAGACTAATGTCCACTACTTTAGCATCGAACAAAGAAAGAAGACATCATCCTTGCCATGCAGCCTGGTCCGGCCAGAAACAGCCCCCCCCCCTCCCGATCGATCGTTTGATCTAGTTGCTGATGATTGATTGATAGGTGGATGCATGGATGCATCGATGGATACCTGGATGGATATGGATCTATCCAACACACGCAAGGAACATCCATCGAAGGCTTCGGTACTTCTGGGAAGTAGACCGTACCTCTGTTCACAGGTAGATTGATGATTGTTTCACCGTTCACATGATCTGTTCACCGCTTAGTTGCTGCTTAGTTGCTGCTTAGTTGCTTGTCCGAGTGAGTGGCCGCCGCCCGTGCGCTTGTCTTGTTCTGCGGTCGCATGTCGCCTTCCCTCCTTCTTCCATTCTCCTCTTTCCTTTCCTGCATGATTTCGGTCAGGGCTACCAACCACGGTATTTGAGCCAATCCCTCCCTGCGCTCCTCCTTCTCTTCCTTCTCCCAGAAAACCAATCGTAGGGTTATGCGTGGCAACATCTCGTGGCCGCCACGTTTTTGACCCTCCCAACCAGTCTAAGTGCTGTACCAACCGGATGCACCCAGTTTGCCCGGCTGCCGCTTGGGGGCAGAATCTCTTTCATCTGGTGGAACGACCGTACGGAGTACGCCGTTCACGGGAGCAGGCATTGCCCGTCACTGCACAGTCCCTACTATATTGTACGTAGGTGTAAGTTCGGAGAACAAAAGCCCACCCCACCCTGTTGCCACGAATAGCCCGCAGATCATGTACGCTGGGTTGATGCTCACGCTAGCTGCATCCATCCCTGTCGGTCCTGGTCTGGTGTTTCAGGTTTGGGTGAATGGAGAATGCTGCAGAGTAATCCCTGTCAGAGTTAAAGTGATGGGTTGGTTGACTGTCTGTCAGCATCCGATGCGATTTGCATAGTACATACCTATTTAGTTGATGGTCTATACATCTCTCGATCGACCTTCCGCGAGTTGATACTCGTACATACATATAGCAAACAATCCCAAGACCAGGGAGGCTCAACCCAGCAACGGACTGCTGGGAAACGTGTTCGATGCGAACGCTTGCCTCGCCTATCCTACACCATGGTAAACCCCCTGCCCCATCATCATGAAGGAACAAACAAGGTCATCACGCCCCCAAGGGAAAACATCCAGTAGGTTAGGTTTGGACTGGTCCCATCCATCCATTTCTTCCCCCCTCCCCCCCCCCCCCCAATTTGCAGGATCATCGTTTCTAGTAAGGCGGGTCCGACCCCCAAAGTTCCTCCTAGTCTCTTGGCCCGAAGGTGTGGTGGATCCCTCGCCCATTGCATCCAGCGTCTCGTCTCGTCAACGGCGCTGATCGGCCGGGCCTAGCCAGCTTTTTGGTTAGTCTGAGACGCTGTGTTGCGGTGACCGTCCCCGGGCGGAAACCTTAGCTCTCCTTAGGGGTGGTCCTAGTGCAGGAGACAAGCGACAGGCGGTGCGAGTGTGACGAGCTCGTCTCCCGTGCTGTGGTTATGTTCTTGCAAGGTGTGCTAAATATCGGACAGCGACAGTAGGGCCGGGAGCGGGTGCATACAGAAAAAAAAAAAAAAAAAAAGAGGGTGTAGCTAATCAACAAGCTGTACGTACACACGCTGAGGACGATGCAGAGCGGCATGTTAAAAAGATGAGAGCAGTTCAAATAGACAAAAAGTGATGACAAGAGTGGGATTCGAACCCACGCCACTTGCGTGACTGCAATGCTCTTCAGATGTGGTCTGGAGAAGGAATAGTCCTTGAGTGCAGCGCCTTAGACCACTCGGCCATCTTGCCCGTGATGACAAATATTTTCCAAAATGGAAACCATAGTCAAAGCTAAAAGAGACAGGTGACGACTACTCAACGGTCTTATTACACTTGATTTGATTATATTTCTGGATTCTTGTTTGGGGTTCAATGCGCGTGTCTGTTTAGGCTGCACAATGTTGACTGATCCCGCATAGAATGTCAGGCATGGGTATGTAGGTTTCAAGTTGGGAGATCCGTAAAGAGTGTACTCTCGAATGTGAAGCTTGGTGTGCACTTTCAGTTTTGTATTCCTGGCCGATGTGCTCCAGTGGACATTATGTGCTGTGCACCGGTGCGTTGTAGCTCTTACTTGTAGAGTCTGAGATGGATCTTGGCTGATGGATATCCGTGGGAGATCAGCCGAGCTACCGGCAAATCGACCGGCTGTACGTACGATTTATATATACCTACGTCGCACATACGGAGTTGCTTGTGTAAGAAGCGACTTTTTCTGCCGTGGTTTGATGGTGTATCCACCACCCTAGAGTGAACTATAATGATTATGATTCTACACGAAGTCGAAGTTCTTATAGTTTCTCCGGACAACAAATCCATTTGTAGGACTGATCAATCAGCATGGATACACACTGACTGCATTGGTCTTATTATGTACTAGCAAGCTCCAATTTCAACAAGGGCAAGATGGCCGAGCGGTCTAAGGCGCTGCACTCAAGGACTATTCCTTCTCCAGATCACATCTGAAGAGCATTGCAGTCACGCAAGTGGCGTGGGTTCGAATCCCACTCTTGTCATCGCTTTTTGTCTAACTGCTCTCATCTCCCCTTGTACGGAGCTGTGGTGTTTGCCTCAGACTCAATCGTCCGGTTTCAACGTATTTCCTATTGCGAGTGGCAAGATGGCCGAGTGGTTAAGGCGTCAGATTTAAGAAATTGAACTCTGATCTTCGAAAGAAGTCGTGCGTTCGAACCGCGCTCTTGCCAATTCCTTTTTGCATACTTTATGCACATCAATCCACCACCTAAACAAGCTGAACTAACTCATCAGCCATTCTTTTTGCCTCAATTAACCCTACATCTGTTACCCACTTCCACCCGTAACCCAGGCATGACCCTGCTTTCCATTATCCCCTGCAGCATGACCACGCCATTGCGCCGATAGTCCGCGGGATATAACCACCCAGACAGAACATCTAGGGAAGGCACCAACCAACCCGCTCGATTCCCAATCGCACCACATCTCTAACCCTCCCAGGCAATATCACCGGGGCCAATTCTCCCTGATCGACAACAACCTCCACTCCCCGCAACCACCCAAGCCACAGACCGGACCATCCAGCCTTTCGTATCAGGGGCTGGTGCACTCCCCCAACGGACTCATACGTCCCGTGTTGATCGGCAACGGGGGATGGCATTTCCCGCTGACATGAACCACATACCAAATCGCTTATCTGCCAGCATGACCAGTAGTCCAGCAACCCCTAACGAATACGGCTCACTGTCCGACTCTGATATACTTGGCAGATCTCGCTACCGCATTTCACTTGTCCCAAGTGTAGCAGAACAAGTATAATGAATACCATGAGCGGGCTAGGCAGCAGCAGCAGCAGCAATGCAGACCGGATATCCCATATCATTTCGGTCTTCAGTTAGCCTATCTCGGGACTGTCTGGGCAGGGCTAGAATTCCAAATCCAATTGATTGGCCGTGACGAGTGATTAGCGGGCAAGGGTCTCATCACTCCACACGGTCTACGTCTATAGTCCTTCGTAATTATTGTGCAGGGCCTGCAGAGTAGGAGTACTTATGGCAGTGGCTGTCTGTCTCCTCTCCACCCCTTTTGCCCCAATCAGTCCAATGGTTTCTAGGAATGCTGAGGCTAGATAGGCTAGATAGGCTAGATAGTGGCGTCATTATCCCCCTGGACCTACGGCACCAGGTCAGTGGACATATGATCATGGACTGTACACGTGTATATTACCACAGCAGACAGCTACAGTTGATTACTACGGAGTATCACCCACCAAATCCCAGCAAGAGAGGAGAGACGCCGATCACCACAGCACACTATCCACAAAACCACCAAATATATCATCTACCTGACGAATTCCTCCCACCACTCAATCCCGCAAAGCCACCAACCACATCAGCAAACACAAACCCACTCGAGTAGTATAAGTATATTCAATCAATGTATGAGTATCCCATCCCCACACCTCAAGCCATAGAACCGAACAAAAGCGAAGCCCTTCACCCAACTAAGCGTCGCCACCCACCAACCGTCCCATCATTGTGACAGATCACATAGACTACCTAACGCACTGTGCACCTCCCCGGATCTCATTCGCGGTTCGCCGTACCGCCGGAAATGCAAATTCAATCAATCCTGCACAGCCTTAAGGCACCGAGATAATCAAGATTTCTGCATCAGTGCCTAGGTATTGATTTGTGTGTGTCCACAGCCCCACTACCCCCTCATCCCTTCCTTCCTGCTAGGAAGGCATCCACTTGAAGGAGTGTTAAGGCTTGACCTTGATCGGAGGAGGAACACAGCAACCCTGATCCAGCTTACCCCGCAGCCCTAACTACATAGGGCTGTACAAAGTATTATCTCACATTGCAATCTGTACCCTCTCCACCCCACCACCATATACAGAATCATGAAAGATCATGACTATAGTAGTGGCGGAGGCGATAAATCGAAAGGGGCGAGTGAAGATCAAGATCAGGGAAGAGAGGAGTGAGGGAAGAGGATTTGTCAAATTGCCTTTGTCCCTTGTCCATCAGCATAGTCTCGGGTATCGATTGTCTCAACGCCCACCAAGCGCCATGATCAAAACGAGGATGATCGATATCATCTTCGCCACGGAAGACATAGATCCGAATAGAACAAAGGAAGCAAGAGAAGCAAGAAGACCCCCTAAGTTAGCCCTTGCTCAAATCCGGCGCGAGGGAGACCCCAGCTCCCGTGGTCAAGGATAGACAAGGCCGGATGTGGGTTGTAATAGTCTGGATCATCGCCTGTTTCCAATTCACATACTCCATACGCCAAACGGATAAGTTAGTCAATAGGCCGGGGTGACAGAAAGACTATATCTGTAAGGCCTACCTTCCTTGATCCCTGCCGGATCTGAAACGGTGGGCAGAGTCGTGAAACAGTGCGGAGTATGGTTTGACAGGATTGCCAAGCTATATACTAACTTACCATCTTCCTACTCCAGGAGATACGAGATACGAGCCAGAAGTTCTGGAAATGTATCCCGCTGTCTACCGGCAAATAAGCAGCATAACCCCGAAATTATGATTTCATCCATATCTACATAACAAAATGTAATGCACTAGTAAATGTCCGGAAACCGTGTATCTCTCTAGCTGAACCCCAACCAACACCTTCTAATGCATTGACCACCTGTCAAGGGTCCATGTTCATTACCCATTACACGATGCATTTCAAAGTTTGATCATGCAACCATCATCGGGATTACCACCGTCTCCCATACACCGAATCCTCCGTCCGAGAGGCACGATTGCCCTGCTGACGGTTGCGCTCGCGCGACTGCGACTCGGCGGATCGGCTTGCGTTGCTCTTGCTCACGTACGGAGAGCCGCCATCAGCCCCAGAGGTCAATAGCTTGGTGGTCTGCGTCAGGTCGATATTGCTGTCTCCGTTGTATCGCGCTTCGGCATCCTTGCCAAACAGCGCCATCATGTCCTTCATCGTGAGTTTGGCAGCTGCGGTCTTGCCTTCAATGGTCACGTTCGCGAGTTCCCGCTTGCGTTCCTGAAGGTCAAGAATCCGCTCCTCCACGGTGCCTTTGATAATCATCTTGAAGATCTTGACGTCCCGGGTCTGATTTAGTCGGTGAACCCGATCAATCGCCTGCTCTTCGACAAACTAGAGTTATAAAGTCAGTATGAGTCCTCACACCCAGAAGGCTGATTTCAACTTACAGGATTCCAGAATGGCTCCAGGATGACTACACGGCTCGCGGCTGTGAGATTCAGTCCCAATGCACCAGCTCGCAAACTGCACAGAAGAACTCTTGTGGCACTGTTGTTGCGAAGCTTGTTGAGGCTCGCTTCGCGATGGTCGTTACGCATGCCACCATCATACCGCGCGAATCCAATACCCGCGCGCTTCAGGAAGGGCTCGATCTTGTCCAACATGGAGGTGAAAACAGAGAAGACGATGAACTTGTGGTCTGCCGACTCGCGTCGGAGGATCTTCATGAGATGGCGGACTTTGGTAGACGGAAGAACGTCGCCGGCGTCATCCCCAGGATTCAGGTAGATGTCATCATCGTCCTCGCTATCGACGGTAACAAGGCCATGAGTCTCTTTCCGTATGCTCGTAGGCTTCCGACTCGGTGAGTCCGGTTCATCTTCGTCAGTGTCAGAATCATCTGAGTTGAGCCATTCACCACCCCCCTCAGCATCCTCATCGTCGGTTCCCCCAGCCTTCCCGAGAGTGGCTTCCTTGCGCTGATTTTCTGGGACTATCCACTCGCCATCCTCGCCATCCTCGCCATCCTCGTCATCCTCATCATCGCTGTCGAGGACCACTCTTCTGTTTCTGCGGAGTCGAGCTGTCTGGGCCTCAGAGCGGCGCGCCGAAGGTGACTCTGTCAGATCAATGACTGCGTTGGGACCAGTCCTTTTCTTTCTGTCGGTTGTCATCACGTTCGTATCCAACGTAGTCTGGCACTCTCTGCATCTGCTCCTACCGCCCGATGCCTCGTCCTTGCTAAGATCCATCTGGCAGATATCACACTTCTTGGACACCACACTCAGTGCCCCAAACAGATCCGCCATGCTGTCCAGATCATCGCTCTTGTTAGATGACTGTTGGCTACCAGTGGCTCCTGTCTGCAGGAGAATATCTTTGTCCTTTGCAAGATCGCTCTTGACCAGGTCGGGGTGATTGCACGACTGCCGGAGGCGCAACAATAGGACCAACGCGCCGGCATAGTCGACCTTTTCACCGCCCATCATCTTCTCCAAACTGTCGTCTGTACGCTGTTCAAGGCGTTTGTAGAAGTCCAGTTCCCCGGGCATAAATTCGGCTTCAACCTTGACGACCTCTCGTTTGACGATCTGGAAGCCATTGGACTTCTTCTTTTCACCTCCCTTGCCCTCTTCACCCGGTTTGAGATTGGCGTTCTGCTTCAGGACATCCTTAGTCCGTCTCTTCATAAAGATCTTGAGGTAGACCTGCAAGCGCTCAATGGCAAGACCGCCGCGACCGTTAGCTATGGGCTTCGTGATCTGCTCTCTCCAATTGGCTAGATCGTTGAATGGTTTGATTCGTAGGAATTTGATGAGACTCTGGAGCTCGTCAAGGTTGTTCTGCAGCGGCGTTCCCGATAGACACCACCGATATTCCGCGTCGAGAGCACAAGCAGACTGGGTCGCCTTGGCGTTCCGGTTTTTGATCGTGTGGGCTTCATCCAGGACGATCCGATACCAGTAGACCGAAAAGATGCCCGTCTTCTTCTTGTTCTTGTCGATCGCACCATGCTCCGACGTCAGAGTTCCATAGGTAGTGATTACAACATCGTAGTCCTCCAAGTTGTCTGTTGCCTTTGCGCGTGCAGTGCCGTGGTAAACTAGCACGCGGAGCCTGTGTGAGGGTTCAACTTTATCTTGAATCTCTGCTTCCCACTGCTTGATAAGTGCCAGAGGTGCGACGACTAAAGTGGTCTTGCTGAGACCGGGCGGAAGTTTCCGAGTATCTTCGTCTTCGTCCTCGTCACTGTCGTCCTCATCCTCAGACTTAGATCTTCTTAATCCATTTGCAGGTTTCCGGTTGGAGAGGATCAGGGCAATTGTCTGAACAGTTTTCCCGAGACCCATATCATCAGCTAGGATGCCACCCTTGGGAAGGACACCCTTCGTCTTGTTTCGACCAGTTTCCTTATCGCACATCCAGTTGACACCCTCCCGCTGGTGAGGAAGTAGTTTGACCTTGAGGCCTTCCACTGTGCCGTCATCCTCATCTTCCTCCTCCTCGTCTTCCTCGTCTTCCTCGTCTTCTGACTCAGCATCAACCTCACTGTTAACCTCCTCTTCTTTTTCCTTCGCCGAATCCTCAGCGGAGGCTTTAGGCGAGCTCGAAGATGTCTCGTCTTCATCCTCACTGTCATCTGAGCTTCTCGTCTCCTTCACCGTCACGCCCTCCAGCTGCGCGGCAAGATCGTCAATGTCAAGGGTGTCCTGCTTCTTCTCTTTCGTCAAATCCTCCTTCTTCTCCTTCTTGGAATCTCTCTTCTTGTCCTTCTTCTCCTTCTTGGAATCTCTCTTCTTGTCCTTCTTCTTCTTTTTCTTTTTCGATTTATCCTTCTTCTTCTTATTGTCCTCGTCGTCCTCAAATGCTCCCTCCAACAATGCCTTGATATTCTCATTCGCCTTCGCCGTATCCACGAACCCGTTCACATCCATCGACCCGAATCCCGTATTCTTGGGCCGCGCACTCGGCGTGAACCCACCCTCACCGGTTAGATCGACGAAGTTCTGTAGATTTCGGGACGCATTCGACATCTTGATGGCCGATGGCTTGGAGGCAAAGAACGTCTTGGGCGCCCGTGGGGTATCAAATGTGAAGTTTTCGGGCCGGCGGATCTCGACGACATCGTCGTTAGTAGGGCGGGAGAAACGGTTGTTGTTGTAGGCAGAGGGGCGAACTGGCTTGAAAGGGTCGTAGGTATCCGCCCGACGAGGGGTGGAGAAGCCTCCAGCAGGGCCTGGGGTCATCGGTCCTTTGTGATGGGGGAAAGGCTGGTGCTG